GGGGCTGGGCAGGGCCGCGGGGTCTGCACCCTGCAGCCCCTGCCTCGCTGAGCCATCCTGGGGTTGGGCAGCCTCTACTCAGCCCTGCTGTGGGAGCGGAGCCCGCTTGGCCAGCTTCCCTGCCCTCTTCAGGTAGCAGGCGTCATGGTGGAGTGAACGGGCACCCAGACTGCACAGAGACTGGGAAGTGGGCCCCACGACGTACTCCACTCTGCTTCAGTCACCGAAATGAAAACAGAGGCCTCGCAAAATTCTCTGCCGGATGCTTTTCGTGATATTCATGGAAGCCCCCGATGTCCCGCGCCAGGTGCACCGGCCAGCAGCCTGCGTGCACCCACACTGCGGGACACTGCTCAGCAGCAAAGGGACGAACGGCTGACACCTGCGACCCTTGGGTGAACCTCAGAATGCAGATTGAAATAAACGCAGAAGACTGAGAGTCCATTTATGTGAAATGCCTGGAAAGTGCAAAGCTAGAGGGGTGAGAACAGGCCATTAGTTGCCAGAGTCTGGGGGTGGGGAGAAGGCCTGACTGGCAGAGTTTGTCCCCGCAGCACTGCTGGCATTTTGGACCTGATCTTCCTCTGTTGTGGTGACCACTGTGCACTGGAGGACGATGAACAACATCCCCAGCCTACGACACGGGGGAACTACAAATGTCTCCAGACACGGCCTCCTGTCCTGGGGAGCAGAACAGCCTCTGGGTTGCACACACTGAGATGAAACGCAGCAGAAGGGAGTTATTTTGGGGGTGCTGGGGCTGGTCTGTACCGTTAGAAGTGGTGATTACATGGAACCATATGGGTTAAAATTGACAATCTGCACAAAAAAGTGTCAATTTTACTATATGTTAATTTAAAAATGAAAAAAATTAAAAAGCCAAAAAAAAAACAAAACAAGCAAAACACACCAGAGAGAGGCAAGCTGTGAGATCTACTAAAGAAGAAATCAGCAAATTTATTGGCTTGGGCCTCTTACCTGCGTGTGGGGTGGGCCAGACACCTCCCCATCACTTCCTGTTGCCTGCAGGGGATCTGCTGTGATCGTACATCTGGTAAACCTTTCCTTCCTAACTTAAGGATCACCTCTTGGCAGATAAAATACAAGACCCCCAGTTAAACTTGGATTTCAGGTAAACATCTAGTAATTGCTTAATATAAGTATGTCCCACATATTGCAAACACATTATTCATTTATCTGAAGTTCAAATTTAACAGGGCACCCTGTATTTTTATTTGCATATAGGACAACCCTATTCTTGGAAAAATCTTTATGGTGTGTGTTTTTTTTAATCTATTAACCCTTGGCTACAATATCAATCTTTTTCAACTTTCCTAAAGATATAGACCTATGTTAAAATAGTATGTATATCTTTTCCCCCCCATTTATTCAGCCACCTCAATCCCTCTGCCTAATATATTCGGCCTGACTTATTCAATATGACTTGCCTTGGACATTTAAATACAAATAAAGTGAACTCTTGCATGTGCTAAGAAAAGGCTGTAACCGTAACACCATGAAGTGGAACAGATTCCCTCTCCCAGCCAACCCTCATGTCCTCTCCCCATAGAATCTGTCCCAGCCTTTTTGGGGGTATTAAAATAAAAATGGACTTTACATATGAACACACCCACACGTGTTTGTCTAGGCTTTAAATTTCTTTTCCCCCACTTGTAGTCACACTGGATCACGTTGGTCCTCTCACTCCGGGGCTGATCTCAGGGGCCTTTCCCTCTGTGTGCCCAACGAGAGCCTGGGCCAGTCTTGTTCCCAGTGCACCCTACAGAGCAACACTGGCCTGGATACTGCAATGCCTTGTTGAGGTGGCTTGTCACTACTTCATGCCACGCCCCCAAATTTAATTATCTTGTCTGATAACATCCCATGGTCTCTCAGGTTTTGCAGTTAAAGGCTGCAGTGACTTGTCTGTATGTTACTGTCTCGCTCCGGGGTAGGTGTATGTCAGGCCCCGGCTCTCCATCTGGGGCATTTTGCCTCTCAGGAGACACTTGGACATGTTTTTGGGAGCATCCTGGGATGCTCCTACACACCCTACAACACCCACACAGCCCCCGAAACCCATGTGCCAGGTGGAGGAGCCGCTGTGTCTTCAGTGGTGTGTTTGGTGGACGGGTCTGGGCCCAGCATGCAGCTTCACCTGTCTGTCCCATGCAGGCTGGTCAGCAGCAGATGCGGATGCAGAGACCCTCTTCTTCCTGCTCCGTCGCCCATTTCCCAGCTAAGGCTGTGGGTCCCTGGCCCTGGGAGTCATGACAGTGGAGGAGCAGCCTGCCCTCCACCCCATGGGAAGTGTAGGGTTACTGTATCTGGGCCGCATCGTGTTTTCAGGCATTTTTATTTTGCCCTTAAAAGCCTTCCAGGGGGGAACGCAAATCCTAGCGGCTCAGCTTTAATGGTTCCTTTTACAGAACCGCTCCAATTATAGATGGGTGAACTCAGGGAAACCCCGCTAAAGAATGCAGGAGAGAGAACGTTAAAGGGGTTAATTTAGAGAAAAATAGTGGCGGTCGGGGAGTTTGGTCTTTGAAACGCTCTCGTTGTTAAAAAACCAAAGTGAACCCCTGGTGCTGGCCTGGTCCTTGGGAGGCGGGTTTCCTGACTTCGGCCCGTCTGGGGGGCTCCAGGTGAAGTTAATTCCAGATGTGGATGGGCCCAGTGCTCCAGGAGCGCCGATTCTGCTGGCCTCTGACCCGTCACCTAATGTGGAGGTCACGCAGCCTGACCTGAGTTCAGGGTTTGCCCCTTTGCTCCCAAGCTCTCCTCCAGCAGGTTATTCGGTCTTATGATAGGCTTTCTTTGTCCCATCCCTTGCTTTATCTGTCTTTGGAACCCTATTTACCACCGGACATGACATTATATCCATGTTGGCCAATGGCCTCATTGTTGCCATCACGCTCGACCTATTGGCAGAGCACAGGACATGGCTATTGCTCCATCCGCTTTGTCCCCTCGATCCCCAGGATCCCATATCCTCTTTTTGCCCTTCCTCCTGTCCAGGCCTCCAGATCCTTCCAGATCCTTCCTCACTGGGCGCTCCCGTGCAGCCTGTGTCCCGTGCCCTGAGCACTCAGTGGTGGAGATGGGCACCTGCACGTGGAGTGCCCAGCTGCACACTTTCCCCGGGTGCGCTCATCCAGTCCCCATGCGGACCCTGACCACTGCCCTGAGCCAGCACTTACCGGGCACTTTTGAGGTGCGAAGCTCTGCTCTGAGGGGCAGCTGCGTGCTGAGTGGCGGAGACAGGACCTGAACCTAGGAAGGCTGGCCCTGGGCCAGAGCGGGTCTTGATCAGAAGCCGAACCCAGGCTGCGATGTTCCCCTGCCACCTGCCACCCTCCCCTCCAGGCTTGTTCTCCATCTCCCCCCACCCCTGCCATGGTTTCCTCACCTCAGTGAACAGTCCTTCCCTTCTCCTTGGTGACTTCCAGGTGCTCAGGCCCAGAGTGCAGAAGTTACCTGTGACTTGTCACTTTCTCATCTTTTATATCCAATCCCTCAGCAGTTTCCCTCAGTTTCTCTCAAAACAGAGCCTGGGTTGGTCATTTCCCAGGTTGGGATATTATACTCTAGTTATGTGACCATTAGGTGAAACGGGGTGAAAGGACATGGGGCCTCCTGGAAGGCTTTTATTTTTCAACTTCCTGTTAGTCAGTAGTTATTTCTAAATAAGACATTACAAATAAAACAAATTCTAAAGGTGGACTTAAAAATAAACTTCTGAAGATATGACCATTTCTGACCAATGCCACTCCATGGCCCAGGCCCACCCAGGTCCACCTCCCCCTGGGCTCTGGCTGCCATCCTCCCCCACCCAGTGCAGTCTCCAGGGTCTTTGCAAACAACTCAGTTGCCCAATCCTCAGCTCTCCAACAGGCATGGTTTCCACTTCATGCAGACTGTATGAGTGTCCTGGGGCTGCAGTAACAAAGTACCACAAACTGGAGGGCTTAGAAAACAGAACTTTATCCTCTCAGCCTGGAAGCTGCAAGTCCAAAATCAAAGTGTCCCAGGGCTGCACTTCGTCCTAAGGCTCTGGGGAAGGGTCCTGCCCTGCCTCTCCTGACTCTGGTGGCTCCTGGCGTTCTTTAGTGTTCCTTGGCCATGTTGTGTGTGTGTGTGTGTCTGTCTGTCTGTCTGTCTGTCTCCACTTGGCCTTCTTCTGAGGACACCAGTCGTTGAATTAGGGCCCTTAACTGATTTCATCTGCATAGATGCTATTTCCAAATAAGGTCACATCCTGAGATCTGGGGGACATGAATTTGGGGGGCACACTATTCAACTCAGTAAACAGAGTAAGATAGAGTGATGGCTGATGCCTTACTGTCCCCCACTACTTATCCCTCTGAACCCCCTTCTACCCCTCTAACCCCATTCTCTGCTCCAACCAGGCTGCCAGTCTCCTTGAACATGCCCACCTGACTCCACTCTCTGGGCATTTGCCTTTGCAGGGCCCTCTACCTGTAATGCCCTCTCCCCAGTATCCACATGGCTCCCCTTCTCGCTGTTACCCAGCTCTCTGCACAAGTGGCCCCTCTGTGCAGATGGGGTAGACATTAGGGCTGCTTGCAACTGTTACCACCTTCCCTGTCATCATGCAGGATTGCCCCAACCTCTTGAAATTAGGTGGATCGTGTGACCTGCTTCGCCCAAGGAAATATGAGTGGAGCTTCCTCTAGCCTGAGACCTTGTGCAAACCTCAGCCCAGCTCTGCCCCTCCCCTGCTTCGTGTTTTCACCCTGGGATACCTGCCATCTGTGTTTCCTGCCCAGCATGCCTGCCCAGGGGACAGGGAGTTTTCTCTGTGTGGTTCCCCACTGTGTTCTAAGCTCCTAACACGCCTGGCCTAGAGCCAGTGCTGAATAAATACAGGCCGGATGGACAGATAGGAATTCGAGAGTGAGCTGTGAGGCTCAAATGACAACCCCGCTAACCACCTCTCCTGTAACCACCTTCTGTGCATGTGTCTGCTTCCGATCTAGGGCAGAGCATCAACCCCAAGTTGGCGGGCCTGATCGGGCGGCACGGGCCCCAGAACAAGCAGCCCTTCATGGTGGCCTTCTTTAAGGCCACCGAGGTCCACCTTCGCAGCACCCGCTCCACAGGGAGCCGGCAGCGCGGCCAGAACCGCTCCAAGACGCCCAAGAACCAGGAAGCCCTGCGGATGGCCAACGTCGCAGGTACGCCCAGGGCGGGAGGGTCCAAACACAGACCCAGGGCCCCACGGGGCCCAGCGAAACTCGAAGGCCATTCATGCGCTCCGCCGATGGTTCTGGAGCCAACGAAGCAGGCAGACAACCCACAGACTCCCCTCCTGACCGGTGTCCAAGTCACACATTCACTCAGAAGTGCAAGTCCCCAAACATGAGTATAGCAGGATGCCAGTCAGGTAAGTCTCTCAGTGGACAAAACAATGGCTACAGATAAATGAAGGAAAACTGTGAGAGCCTGTGTGGGAGGACGCCCCACCCACTGCCCAGGGAGGCTGCTGCCAGGGTGGGGGGAGGGCTCAAAGTGGGGGACTTTGCGGCAACCTTAATTTTATTTCTTAAAGTGAAGAATACTTGAAACTCCTGGCAAATCTGAATACTTGTTAAATATGGGTTTTCCCTGTCAGGAGCCCCTCTCCCAGCACTCTGGGTTGGTCGTGAGGCAGGGACCAGCCTCTGGCCTCGCTTGTCTGGAGCTCGCAGCAGAGCTCACCTACTGTCCCGGCTCCTGGGCCTGGGGGTGGTCTCAGGAAACACAGAGGGGGACATGGGGTATTTAGAATATGCAAAGCAGACCACACCCCCAAATCAAGCTTATCTTGTCAACAGCTTCTTTTTCCTTTTCGAGGGAGAAGGGAAGTAGGTTGCTGAGGTTGCTGAGGTTTTGAGGTGCGGGCTTGCTGAGCCCCAGCGAGGGGTGTGGATGGCTCCGGAGTTTGCGCGCAGGTTTTGTAGGGCGTCTTTTCTGCCAGGTGCATCCATCTTTTCTCAAAGGGGTCTCTGATTCCCACATTAAAAACCAACCAGACCCTGAATTTTTGTTGGAAGCCTGCTCCATGCTGGGCTCTAGAGGCTAGGGTTCAACGGTGAAAGCCAGCCATGGCCTGCCCTGGGGATTCCAGACTGCAGGAGGTGGCTGTCATTCACAGCCACACTAACAACTAATAACAGGCCTGAGAGTTGAGGACAGCGACTAGGGACTCACCCCTGGGGGCAGGGTTCAGGAAAGACTTCCCAGCTGGGAGCCCCGATCAGGGCAGGTGCCCACCAGGCCAGGCTGGGTAAGCTCCGCTCCGGGCTCCAGGCAGCGGGACCTGCAGGTGCGGAGGCCTGTGGTGGGAGGTTGCATGGCACCTACGAGGGGAGAGGGTGAGGATGTGGTGGCTGGGACGGGGGAGAGGGGAGGGCTGGTGAAGTGAGCGCATCTTGAGCTTGAACTTCATCCAAAGCAAATTAGGAGGCCTTTGCAGAGTTTCAGCTATGGTGAGGGGTGGGGGTGGATTAGACGATCCTTCGATCCTTTGGCTGCTCTGAAAATGGTGGGGAGCAGGCAGGGAGGGATGGTCAGTGTAGGGAGACCTGTCTGAGGCCTGTTTGAGGTGGGAAACACTGGCTAATTCCATCCCAGCAAAGACTCCATGTCTTGGAGTCCTACCAGCGGTACCTCAAAGTCTCAGAATTCCACACTCAGTTTCCCCCACCACATTGCTGGCGATTCTCCATTTACATAACCCCCAGGATGAGGCTCTCACTACCTCACGTGGCAGCTATTCTTTCTTGCCTGGAATCTGCCTCCTTCCTGTGGATTCTACTTCCTGGCCCTGTTGGAAGTTCAGTTAAACCCTGCCTGGAAGTTTGCTAAGGAAAGAAATACTGAGGCCTGGACCCCACCGCAGGCTCAGTAAACCAGAAGCTGTGTGTGTGTGTGTGTACACGTGTGTGTGTGTGCGTGCATGCTCATGCCCATTCGAAGTGCTTTACCCCAGATGACAGAATCGGAGTCCTGCTGTAGGGCCGCACGAGCCAGCTCCTCTCTCAGGGCAGCCCTGTGCGTTGGAAGGAGAAGTGCTCCAGCGTGCTGCCGCCAGGAAGCTCTTTCCTGCAGGCTAACCCACCCCCGGCCTTCCACTGCTCTTCACAGGCTGTGGTTTGGGATGAGAGACTGGGGTCACTGCCTTCCCTCCACACCCTTCTCCCCACCCACGTTTAGACCCAACTCCCTGGTAGTTAGCCATTCTCAGCAGATGACCCTGAGGAGTGGGAGCTGAGCCTCAGCACCAGTTGTAACTTGTTAGTTGCTCAGGGGGGCTCCTGGAGGCGGAGAAGCAGCTCGCCTCCCGCTGGCCTCCTGCTCGCCTGCTGGCACTTGGGGCTGGAGGGGCAGGACTGGAGTGAAGGCAGCGGGGCTGGGGCCTGCTTCTCGATCATCCCTTTCCTTCCCTTTCTGAACCAATATTGCCGGCTGCTTGGTGCTGACACCAAGAAAAGAAGGATCTGAAGCTAGGTGAGGGCTCAGTGAGGGGAAAGTGCCACGATTGATTAGCAATGTCTGCTGTGAGCAGAGGAAGAGCAAGTAGTGGCTTGGTTGCCACTTTCCAACCCCGCCTTAAAGCACAGCAGTGACACTTGGCTTCATGTTGAAGCCCAAGGCCCAATAGACCAAGGCCACAAGCAGCTCAAGGAGCTAGTTGTGGACAGGCAGCTGCAGGGTATGTGCACGTGTGTGTGTGAGACAGAGACAGAGATCTCTCCGTGTTTACAAATGCTTAATCCCTAACCCACATGCCTGCAAGCCTCACGTACTTCTGGAAAACCCCAGTGCATCATTTCACTCCTCAGAGAAACCTCAGTGGTGTGTTTTTCTGGAAGGTCAGTGGGATTTGACTTTCTGCCTCTTGTTTCTTCTTGGTGGTGGTGGTGATAGGGACTTTGTCCCAGACCTTGTCTGTACCCTCTTGCCCCCTCCCACAGCGAGATTGGTCGGAAGTAGAGCCCTCAGGCAGCCTCCTGTAGCCGGTGTGGGATGTGGATAGGTTTTGATTCCCTTATGGAATCCGGGCAGATGTCAGCATCTAAACCACACGTGGGTATAAAAGAAACCAGTGTCCGCAGAAGGATCCAGAGTATGTTGTGAGCTCCGACTGTGAGAGCAGGATGGGGTTTGGCACCTCCCTTGTGGGACTGTCTGCTGGGGGGTGGAAATGCTTTTGAAGGCTACGGGCTCTCAAACAGTGTTTGTGTCAGAAAAGCCACCCTCTGGCTTTACACCACTGCCTTAGGCTGAGGAACTAACGAGTGTGTTTCCTGTCTCTCCGCATCCGGCTCGTCCCGCAGAGAACAGCAGCACTGACCAGAGGCAGGCCTGCAAGAAGCATGAGCTGTACGTCAGCTTCCGCGACCTGGGCTGGCAGGTAAGGGGCAGACCCTGTGCACCCCCAAGGCTGCAGGCTGTGCCCCACGTGTGCAGTGAGTCATGTTTCTCCTCTACATCAGCTAAGACCCCGTTATCAAGTGTCCTGACCAGGGTAGAGGATTTAGGGTGCCTCATGAAACCCAAGAGCAGAAATGTGGCTGAGACTCAAGCTGGAACCAGGAACCCAGACACTTTGGACTCTGAACCTCGTTCTGCGCATGAACCCTGTTTCCATTCCTGCACTGGCTGCTCCTCTCAAACTTGTGCTAGAATCCAGCTGCCTGGAGAGCGGCTCCCTCCCTCTGCCCTGTCTGCCCCCCCCCATGATCCAAATTCCCAGTGAAGGAACCGATTGGCCCAGCTCCGGTCAGGTGCTTGTTACTGAACCAATGAGCTGTGTTAGGGGTGGGATCATGTTATAGGAACATGACTGCTCCCTCTGGAACCATTTGGATGGAGTGAGGTGAAGGGCAGGGGATGAATCCTAGAAGAGGAGTGAGGGTCATGCAGACTTATAACTAGGAACCTCTGTGACATCCTGGGCCCTCTTCTAGGTCCTGAAGGTGTAGCCCTGAGCGTGACAATGTTCCTGTCCTCATGGAGCTCAGATATCCTGAGTGGGGTGCTGTCAGAAGATCACCAGGTCAATGGGATAGTCCAGATGCTTCCCTGGGGCTCATGCCCCTATATACAGCCAGGCACTTGTGCGCACAGCCAGCGCAAACCCCTCCTTGATTCTGTCCTCATGCTCATGACAACACCCCATGATCTGAGGGGGGCCAGGTCCTGCTTGAGTTCTGTGCTAGAACAGAGCCCCAAACTCCAGTCTCTGCTGGAAGGTTCCACGGACTTGAGTCAATTAGGGGTGCATTTATCGATAGAACAGTCTTTCTGCACTAACCCGACCTTAAAGAAAGCATGGCCATGGGCATTCTTGTCTGAGCCACACATGGGTGCCAGGCACTGTGCTGGGCCCTCCGCACTGTCATTTCATTCTCCCCGTGATGAGCTATGCGTCTCCCTCCCAGGTAGGGGAGCTGCGTGCCGTGTGGAGGTTATGTTTATGCAAATGGCCAGTGTGTTACCACCTAGTAGAGGTAAAAGTGATGCCACCCTGGCCACCCGTCTCTGTGCTACTTCCCATAAAGCCACACGTGTCTGTTCTGGGCTCAGCCCAGCCCCCTCGGTGGTCTCTTCTTCATTTTGCATTCTGTTGGGACCATGAGAGGTTGCCACCCATGTCTCCTGCCTCTGCAGGACCCACAGCTGCTCAGGAGGGTGTCCTTGACCTTGGGAGTACTGGAGTCTGGCCCACAGGAGGAGGGTTTTGACCTGGAGGGTGGGGCCCTGGGCGCAGCCCTCACAGCCGCACGCTCTCCTCTTCCCTAGGACTGGATCATCGCACCCGAGGGCTATGCCGCCTACTACTGCGAGGGGGAGTGTGCCTTCCCTCTGAACTCCTACATGAACGCCACCAACCACGCCATCGTGCAGACGCTGGTGAGTGGCCCGCATGCCACTGGGGTGCGGTCAGCCTGGGGGAGCGGGGCCCCCAGATCCTGCCTCAGGCTCCTCAAAGCTGGGCCCAGAGTAGATCTCTGCCTAAGGCCACGTCATGACTTTCAAGCCCCTTTCCCTATAAAAAGAAAGGTTAAAAATTATATTTTTCTACTGTGTTGACATAAAGATGTGTTTAATTTTTTACCCTAAAGTTGATTTATTTCTCCTGATTTTAATATAAATGAGAAGTTTCATGGGTTCTTAAAGGTATCGTGGGCAATAGTCACTGTGCCTGGTGGAGACGTGGCCGGGCCATGGCACTGCCTCTGTCCCGGGGCCACAGTTCGTGGCCGTCAGCATGTCTGCTCCACATCTATAGACCGGCCATGCCCCCCCCCCCAGTGTCTGGTCTTCCCCTGGGTTGGGGGCTTGAGAGCTCACCCCCTCCCACACCTCACATCTCCACCTCCTGGCCTTGAACTTCACAGTTCAGTCACTCAGGGTATTTATTATGTTTGTTGAGGGTCTACTGTTTGTAGACCCTGCGTGGGGAGGTGGGGGTACCGCAGGGGCCAGCACAGACGTGGGCCCTGCCCTCAGGGCCTCGTTTTCCAGGGGAGGAAATGATTAGTAAACAAATGAGGAAACTTCAGAGACTGAGGAAGTGACAGGAAAATGATCCAACAGGATATTAGGATCCTGAGATGGGGGGTATGGGGCTCTTCTGGGTTGACCTTCCATGGGCGTCATTGGAGGAGTCAGTGTGATGAGATTAAAGCTTTTAACTGGGTGCCCAGAACTGACAACACAAAACAGACGTTACTTTTACTACGCTCCCAGCAACAGCAACAGCAACAGCAGTAGTAGTTAAGGACTTGGTTCATTAGCTTGGAGTCTGGCGTTCAAGGACCTTGGTTACCTAGCTCCCTGCCATGAGCACTGCCTGGCCCTTTCCTTACAACTGGTCATCCTCCTCGGCTTGAATGCTTCTAATGACAGACAGCTCACTACCCAGGGCCACCCCTCTGTCCCACAGTTCTGTTTGTCATGGAGCTTTTGTGCTTCTTTTTAGTAATCCACCTCCGTCCCTTGTCCCTGGCCCATGTGTTCCATCTTGGAGGAAAAGCTCCTCTGTTCCTTTCTCTGGACCAGGCTCTGTCTGTAGAGGGAAGCCTCTTTTTTGGGCATTGCTTTTCCAGGGCCCCTCCCCCAACAGCAAACTCCGAGGCCTACTTAGGATTGAACATCCCTGCGCTGGAGATGCACAGTCCCCCAGCCTGCTCGGTGGCCTGGACTTGCTCCCCTGTCCCCCCGAGGACCCTGGGAATTGTCCCAGGTTGCCAGAGGCACACCTCTACCCTCAGACCCTGCTTCGTGGCCCTGTGAAACACCGCTCTGTGTTTCACCAGAGACCTCCAGGCTCAGACCAAACCCTCCGGTTATTCTGAAATGAAGGTCATGCTTTCAAAGGGGGTGAATCCCTGTCTTCCAGGGAGTCCCAGTGAAATACAAATGTGATGAGCTGACCTCTGGGACTTGCTTTAAAATAATTCCTGGGCAAAAAAGCTGGGGGAAGGTTTAGATTTTAAGGTTTGAAATTGTCCGTAATAAGTTTAGAAAGTGTGCTGGTCTGTGTCGGAGGTCACAGACCGGAGGCCAGTGAGCAGAGGGTCGTCTGCAGTGCTTTCCCTGGGCACACACAGTGTGTTGGAAACCTGGAAATTTCACCAAAAAACAGAACAGAGCTGAATCTTGGCCTGTCCTGCACAGTTGGCACATCTGCTCGCATGGGCTTTGGGTGTAGCAGTGCTTGTGGCCCGAGAAGAGAGACCTTTAGGTTGCCCGTCCCTACTCCTGGCCTCATTCACGCGTTGGTGACACTCATGTGGCCCCTGTAGGCATTTGATTTGTCTGCCACCTGACCCTTGTCCTCTGCAAGGCACATGGAAGCCCATGAGTGAGAAGGGGCAGTAAACCTGAGCGACTGACCCATTCTTTCTTCATTTCTTCCATCTGGACTCTGCTTTCCTGTTGATGTCCATCCACCCAAGTGTTGCCCGAATTCGTTGCCCCTTATTTTTATTGCTCAAGAAGTGAAATGGTCCAGTATGGCCCAGACCTGTACTATCCAGGACGGTTACATTTGCATGTGGCTCTTGAGCACGCGACATGTGCTCAGTCCGAATCAAGATATTTTATAAACATAGAATACACTGGGTTTTGAAGACTTAGCACAAAAAAAGTAAAATATCTCATTAATGACTTTTTAATGTTAAGTATATATTGAAATAATATTTTTAAAATACCGGATTAGATTAAATACATTATTTAAATTAATTTTATGTGTGTGGCTTGCATTATGTTTTTCTTAAACAGGACAGGTCTAGCTCAGAGGTCAGCAACCTTTTTCTGAAAAGGGCCAGATAGTAAATATTTTTTACTTTAAGAGTCTTAATTTGCAGCTGTTCAGCTCCACCCTCCTCATAAGAAGGCAGCCTTAGATGCTATGTAAATGAATGGGTGGGGCTGGTGCCAATAAAACTTTATTCACAAAACCAGGCTGCGGGGCAGGATTTGGCCTGTAGGCTGACCCTGGGCCAGCTCAGTGGTTCTCAGCTCGGGGCAGTTTTGCCCCCCTAGAATATTTGCCGTCTAGCAACATTTTTGGATGTCATGATTGGGGGGTAGAGAGCTTCTGACCTTGGAGCCCAGGAGTGCTGTTAAACATCCAGCCCCACAACGGAGAGAGATGTGCCCCACGCGTCTGATCTGGCCACTGACTTCCCAACTGTGTGCTCCCAGCTCTATACGGGCACCTGGGTTCCCTCCTCTGTGAAGCAGGGATAATCGCAGAACCGAGTTAGTGACACGTGGCGTGCTCAGAACTGGTCACACTCAGAGTGTCACCTCAGTCATTTCGCCCAAGCAGCACATGCGCTTACAGAGAGAAGAGACTGACCACTTCTGATCGTGTTTCGGTGTGTGTTCCAGGTCCACTTCATCAACCCAGACACGGTGCCCAAGCCTTGTTGCGCCCCGACCCAGCTCAATGCAATCTCTGTCCTCTACTTCGACGACAGCTCCAACGTCATCCTGAAGAAATACAGAAACATGGTTGTCCGGGCCTGTGGCTGCCACTAGCCCCTCCTAGAAGTCAGACCCTTTGGGCGACCTCTTTCTGGATCCTATGACTCACCGCCCAGCGTGTCCCACTGTCCGCCTTGTCAAGGAGCCAGCAGCCCGGTCGGCCACCTTTTGCGAGACCTCCCTGCCCCCTCCCCAACTTTAACGGTGTAGGAGCATTCAGGAATTTGAGAGGCAAATGGCTTTTGGTCAGTTTTTCGTTGTCATCCTATGGACAAGATCCTACGGACAAGATCCTACAAGCTGCTGTAAGCAAAACCTAACAGGCAGAAAAGTCCATCAGGAGAAGCTGCCCGGCCCCGATCACGCTGCAGGGCCTCGGCCTTGCGCTGACTCGCTCGGGGTGACTGGGAGCGGCCCCCGCCAGGCCCCGGCGGGAGGAAGGGGCGCGGCCGGGGTGGGCACGTCTGTGTCTGTGCTGAAGGAACGGTGCGGAACTTCCTGTAATAAATGTCCCAATAAAACAAATGAATGAAAATAGTTAGGATGTTACAGATATATTTTCCTAAACAATTTATCCCCATTTCTTGGTTTACTTTGATTTCATAAACAGAAGCTGTGTCTGGCGGAGGGAGGGGGGCACCCTCTCTATTCCATTTGGGCTTTGTCTGAGGTTTCCAGAGACCCAGGGTTTACGGAGACTTGCCCAAATCCAAGATTTGGCTGGGAGGGGAAAGGGCAAATTTCTGCTTGGAGGAAGGGGCGTGTTGGTCTTTCAGCTGGACGTGTGATGGCAGAAATTAAAATAGGCACTGAAGCCCCAGCACATGTCTGCAGGTTCCTCTTCAGTTCCCCTCCACGCTAGGATCTGTGTGAAGGGGAGTGGAGGGCGATGGCATTAGGACAGAACCTGCAACTTGACTCTGAGCTCTGGCCGGCACGGCCCTGTTTATAGAAGCACCAAGGAAGCCCAGCTCTCCATAGGGCTACCACCCGTCTCCTAAGTAGGTTGTCCGTTATTCACTGATAGCTGTTTTCTGAAGTCTGGGTTCAGACTGGGCCTCCGTGGGCCCCCCTTTTCGTTGGCAGACCCTTACCGAGGGCTCCTTGAAGCATAGTGGGGGTTCTGCTGGGTGTAGGGTTTGCTGGGCGTGGATCCCAAATGCAAGGACCTAGAAGCCTTTTGAGAATGACTTCCTGATCAAGTGACCAGATTTGAAAGTGCCATTTTCTGACATGGCTCTTGGTGAGAGCCTTCCTCACCCTGGCCGGTGGGTCCCCTAAATGCCATGCACCCCACCTCCAGCTGCGGCACAGGGCTTGGGGAGCACGGAGCTCTCTGAACAGAGAACAGGGTTACCCAGAAGACCCCTGGGATCTGCTGTAGGGGGAACTGTTTCTCCATTGTGATTAAGTTGGTTGCTGGAAACTGTGGGAAAACTTTGTTTTTTACTTTCTTTTGTTTTTCCTTCTTCAGTAGCTTGGGCTGCAGCCCTCACTCTGTCTGGTCCACAGGGAAGAGTTGCTGTTATTGTTACATTTTGTTTTGTCTGTTGGCAGATCTGGGGATTCTTGTGTGATCCCCTCTTGGTGCAAGTTTCCTCACCAGTTAAGCCCAGACGGCCTCTGGTTAGCTTCATTTGTACATTGAAACATGTAAATAGTTGTTACAAAACAAAGAAATTATTTATGTCCATCAGAAATCTTTTTAGACCCTCTTCCAATCGCTCGTTTGGGACAATAAGCTCGCTTCCCTCCAACCTGCTTGATTTCTTATTTAAGACTATTTATTAACAGTCGGACCAATGTACCTTCAGCTGTTGCGTAGAGCAGTCCTCAGCGAAAATTCTGTATAAATAGACAAAATAAAAAGCGTTTTGACTTTGCAATAAAAGGAGACATTTGGTTCTGGTTCTTGGGCCTGTATGTGTCTGTGTGTTGTTGTTTTTTTTCTCTCAACTCCGGACACTGGCATCCTCTTGGTCTGCTGAGAGCTCTCTGCCTGGCCTCCAGCATTCGCATGCTGTTTATCATCCAGGCCCTGGGGAGAAAGGGGCACTCGTCAATATTTGGTGCAGCTGCGTGGGGCTCCGGGCAGGAGAGATGGAGCCCAGCAACAAATGTGAATTTGGTAGGCTCGACTACAAAGATCCTGCGCGGAGTTACATGTAGTGCAGCTGTCAGCAGCTGTTTCAGAGAGGCAGGGGGTAAATTAGCTGTGTTTACTGCTAACATAGTTGAAAGGTTTAGTCATCCCAATAAAATAGAGGCACAAGAAAGAAAAAAAAAAGGTGGGAGGGGAGTGTACACCCAAAAGTTTTAAGCAGCACAGGCCCCAGGGCCGACATTGTCCAGTTCAAATTATTTCAGTGGTTTGGGGGCTGCTGCTGGTTCCAGGCCCCAGCTGGGGACGGCCCACCGCAGGCCGAGTGAAGCAGCCAGGGGCGTGGGGCAGCCTCTTGGGTTTCTTTTCACTTTGAAGTGCACACGAAGGTCACCCGTTGGATGTTAGAATCCTGGCCATCATTTGGCCAGACTGCTCTCTCTTCCCTCGGTGCCTCAAATAAGTGACCGCTTTTAACAAGTTCCAGCCCCTGTGATTTCCAAACCCTCCTGTCATTGTCCTGATACGCAATTTAGCTTTTGTTCTGTTTCCAGGCTCGAGACCAGAGCCACAAATCAGAGGGCCAGATGCAGCCTGCAGACGTGTCTTGTTCCCCCTGCGTGGTGTTTATACTTTTTTTTTTTAAAGTGACTTCATTCCAACATGTTTTAGGAAATCAGAAGATTTGGGTGAGGAAAAAAAATCCCAAATTCTGGCTTCTCTTGAGAAATTAGCAGATCTGGCCATACTGGGCGTCATTCCTGTGTGGAAGCTCTTGGCTGGAGGCAAAAAACAGTTATTGCCACAGTCTCCACTACTCCCTATTGCCTCTCTCACAAAGATGCAAATGTCAGTTGCTGTGTTAAAAATTGTATATATCTATTTGTCTCTATTAAGAGTAGGAAAATAAAAGCAATACCGAGAGAGCCACACGCTTCAAGAAGAGCAGACGACAAAACTTTTGTTCATCCCTGGCTCTTTCCCCATTTTACACCCAGTCAAGCTACCATAGGCTGATGTGTTTGTGGCTGCAGTACCACAAATAGCCTCATCTTCTGCCCCCACCCTTTCCCCATCCTGGTTTCCATCTCTCTTGCTCATTTCTACCTTAGAGCATTTTTCAAGTTGCTTCTTCCAATCCTGCTCATGGAGCACCTACGTCAAGTAACACTGCTCCCACCACTCCACCTGACATCACCATGGGTCATGCTGAGAGGGTGCCAAGAAGTGAAGGAATTGACTCGAAGTGGCAGCTAATAATTGCTAGATCCCGGAATTTGAAATTTGAACCCAAAGCCTGGGCTTAAACAGAAGAAAAGTTTATTTCTCTCTCATTTAAAAGAAGTCTGATCCAAGACCTGGATGGCAGCTTCACTGTGCCATTTGGGATCTAGTCCCTTCCCATCTTTCTGTTCTGTTAACCTAATTCATGGCTTCCATCCTCACAATTCACCTCAGGGTCCAACATAGCTGCTGGAGCTCCAGTCATCATATCTATATTCCACCCTGTATGTGCCCTTTAAGCAGCCATCCCAAAGGGTAGACACAAAATATCTACTCACTCCTCATTAACAGAATATACCACACCTAGCTGCAGGGGAGACTGGGAATGATAATCTTTATTCTGGGTGGCAATGTACGTAGTCAAAAATCAGCAGTCAGGGTCCTATTACTATGTGAAGTTTATGAATGCTAGACATTAACAATTAACTATCTGTACTATTTTTCTATAGCTGCATAACAATCACTGCAAACTAGGTGGCTTAAATCATCAACCGTTTATTATCTTACACCTTCCGTGGATCAGAAATTTGGGCAAAGTTAGCTGGGTTTTCTGCTTATGGTCTCACAAGGCTCAAATGAAGGTGTCAGCAGCTGCATTGTCAACTGGATCTTGGGTCCTCTTTCAAGCCCATTCCTGTTGTTGGCCAAATTCAGTTCCTTGCAGGTATAGGACTAAGGTCCCCAATTTCTTGCTGGCTGTCAGCCACAGGCCACTGTTAGCTTCTCTAGAGGGCATTCTCACATCCTTTCCACGTGGTCCTCCTACAACATGGCAGCTTGAGTATCCAAAGCCAGCAGGAGAATCTCCTACTTCTTCTAAGGTTCACCTAATTAGATCAGACCCACCCAGGACAATCTCCCTTTGATTGACTCAACGTCAATTCATTAGGGGCCTTAATTACATCTGTGAAATCCCTTCACCTTTGGGATTGATAATTAAATATTGGGCAGAAATCTTCGAATTCTGCTTGCATAGTAGCTAAGTTGCATTACACAACTCAGGCTAGAGAAGGCATTCGTGACAATACATATGGAAAGTACCTGGCATAGAGCAGGCACACATCTGATAGTGCCTGTAGCTGAATACAGGTCTTCCCACTAGGAATCTCCCTACCCACCAAATCAGTTGAACAATTTGAATTGTGACCATTATGTGTCTGGAATCATTACCTGTAGTCCCCAAATTCTTTATAAAGTCACTCGTCACCCCAGCTATTCTCATGTGCACTTGGGAAGGATGAGGGCATGACAGGTTTGGATCTTTGCAAACGATGGTACATGCTTCTGGGTGCTCCCTCTTGGCCAGGCCCCACCCAAAGCACATCAAGTGCCTGACACTAGCTCACTGACCCCTCTGGATAAGCCCGGGAGCTCCATACTCTCACGTCCTTCCCATGGCAGACAAAGGAAGGCGCAGGGAGGTGGGAATGGCGCCACTGAATGATCGCTGCATGTTTGTGGACTGGGCCCTGCACACCTCCAGGGGGTGCTCTTCACCCAGGCGTCAGGGAAAACGGCACCCTCCAGGGTGGGGCAATGCAGAGGCAGCCTGCTCCAGCTCTGAGTCGGGGTCTCTGGTGGAGAGAGGAACTTGTGTCCTGCCCCGACCCTGCCTGCAGGTAGGAGCACATCCATCCCCTCTGAGGATCTCCACAGTGACCTCGTGCAGACATCTTCCCCCTGCCTGTGGCCGATTCCTCCTGGCTCAGGCCCCTTCAGAACTCTGGCACTAGCCTCTCTTGGTCTGAGATTTGAGGAAATGAAAATAGAAGAGGGAAAACACAGACCTGTCCCAAGCCGTTGGAGCTGCGACAGCTGTTTGGACGGAGCACTGTGCACCTGGGTGGGAGCACAGCGCTTCCTCCATGGCTGCAGCCCTGCCGCCCCGCCCCGTCTCAGACAGTCTCCTGAAGGCAGAGGAGGGCCAAGTGGGCAGGTCTGAAGCCCCCCGTCCACGATGCGAGGCCGGGAGCTGGACCTGCTCTGAGCATGCGCTCTGGGCACGGGCACGGTCACAGCACAGCACCAGTGACCAGGGCTACAGGACGGAACCAACGAGCCCCGGGCAGGGCCGGCTTCCCAGGCAGCCTAAGTGTCACACAGGGTGCGGGGCTCCGAGTGGCCCTGAGTTTGGGTAACACTTGCTGCTGCCAGCCTGAGACTCCGAACCTTTAGAACAAGGCCCCGCAGCTTCATTCTGCTCTGGGCCCCTCAATTCTGTGTGGGTCCTGTGCCCGGTGGACAGAGCAAAAGACTTTGGTATCAGGCCCAGGGGCCGAGCGGGCCTCTGCCACATGCACCATTCAACCCGTGCGTTTTGGGACCCGCACACTGCAGACAGTATTCTGGGAGCAGAGGACAAGACCGAGGGGGAGGGGGAGGCCTGCCGTCTTGGACGCATGTCCACCCGCAGGCAGAGCAGGTGCAAGCAAGCAGTCAGGAGAGGCGGGACCGCGCGGAGCTGGGCCCAGGAGACGGAGGGCACCCCAGTCGGGACGGGCCGAGGAGGGTGTCGGGAAGGAGCGAGGTGCTCAGTACGCAGAGTCCCCTGTGCAATGCCCAAGCCGCAGGGCCGAGGGCAGAAGCCTGGGGGACGGTCTCCGACTCTGCCTGCTCCGCAGCTAAGCTGCACTGCACAGCTGGGGTTACGGAAAGTTAGCAACAATACACGCATAGAAAGTGCCCGACACAGAGCAGGGACGTGTCAAGGCCGGCAGGGGACCTGCAACCAGCAAAGGGGGATCAGTTAAAGGGGTTCTCACACGTGACACTTTGACATTTGGGGCCAGAAAAATCTCTGTTACAAGGAGCGCCCTGTACATTGTAGGGTGTACAGCCTCCCTGGCCTCTACCCACACGATGCCAGTAGCATTGAGTTGGGATAACCTTCTGTTGTGATAACCACTCATGTCCTCAGACCTTGCCCCATGTCCCCTGGGGGGCACAGTCACTCTCAGGTGAGAACCACCAAATTAGACTGAACTCAAGCAAATGAGGCATTCACCCTCCCGCACCCCCAGCCCATCTCCCCTCCCACACACTCTGCTCCAGCGGCACTCCCTTCTTGCTGTTCACCCCAGGTGCCCTCCTGCCTCAGGGCCTTTGCATTGCTCTGCCCCGCACCAGGAGAGCTGCAGGCCATTCTCTAAGCAATGTCAGATCTTTTCCCCGTGTCCTCTGACTCCTGTTGATCAGAGCAGTCTCTACCCGGCCCTTCCTGTCCTTTCCCTCTTCTCTCCATAATGCCCATCGCCACCCAGAAAGCTCAATGTTTTACTTATTTGTGTAAAACACAAATCTAGTCACTGTGGTGTTCCCGGTGCCCAGCCCAGGGCTTGGCACATGACAGAGCTTCCTCGACAAGTTTGATGAATAAATGTCATTACTGTTATTAACAGGCCCAGAATCAGGACACTTGGGCCCTGACCCCAGTAGCTGAACGACCTTGGAGAGGGCCTTCACCCCCTGTGCCTCCCCGTCTCTGGTCAAGGCCAGAGCCAGGGGCTCTCTGTTGGCCCCTCTGGGC